CGGAGGCGGCCAATCAACGGAGGCGGCTTGAGGCCCGCGGCATTGTGGGACGGCAGAGCGGGCGGGGCTCGCCCGGGGCATGACGGGAGGTGTAGTCCCGGGGCGCCGCGCTGGGCCGGGCCCGGAGCCGGGGAAGGGGCCGAGCCAGGGCAGGGCGGCCGCCGCAGCCCCCAGGCCTCGCGTTAGCCCCCACCCCCGGGGAAGGTCTAGCCGGGGTTTCCACAGCTGGGGTCCTGCCCAGGGTAAGGCGAGGCAGGTTGTGAAATAAATGAAATTCCCAGAAATTCCACTTTGCGTCAGCGCTGTTGAGAGATGTGTGTTAAAGAGCCCTTGGCTGCCTAGGCCCTGGCACGGATGGTAACACCTAAGATCCATTTTTACAGCTGGAAGCAAGCTCGCCTGGGAGGGAAAGTCCAGGAGTGAAGCTCTTCGCTAAAGCATCCCCCCTCCTCCACTTTCTGTGTCATTGCCTGGTGACAGGAGAGGACAAGGACAGTCTCCTTGGGCAGCAGGGTGCTCTGGTTTCATCTGCCACCCGCTGTCTGTGAGCTCTGATGGAAATGACTCATCCTGAAACCAACCTCCGCAAAACCAGCCCCAACACCCGAGACGCTCACATCCTGCACCCCAGACATTTCTCCATTACACATGCACACGCTGCAGCTGGAGGAAAAGAAAAAGCAGAGACGGAACAGCCGAGGGACACAAGGGAGCGTCTGAGGAAGGGGAGGCAGCCAAGGGAAAGGGGAAGGCCCTGCATGGGACTCCAAGGTGTAGCTGTTCCATATGTGTGGCCGAGGCTTTGGGAGGATGGGGGAGGCAAAGTTACTTCCTCCCAACATCCTTGGTCCCCTCTGACCTTTGCACACATCACCAGCAAGTACCTGGACAGTGAAATCGGTTCAAATCTCGGTTAATGGGATTGCCAGCCTGGAGCAGAAGAGAAGGGGCTGCCTTGACACAAGCCCTGAGGGCCTGCAGACATCCCCTGGAGCCCTGTGGGGCCATAGCACCTTCCCCCAGGCCAGGCGGCCCCGGGCAGGGGTGCCCCGCCTGGCTCTGCAGCAGGGCAGGACGGGGCTGTTCAAGCAGAGCCCAGGCTAGGATGTGGTGTTTGGGAACACAAGACAGTGCCAGTGACTCGTGCCAGTTCCCCTTGGCCCTGGATAGCTGTTGCTCCACTGGACCTGTGCGGTGCTGCCAGGTCCCTGCTCCAGCCCTTCTTCCTGCTGCAGAAAAGGGCTGGCAGGGATCTCCACTTCCAGCCACCAAGGAAATCCTAAAAGGCAAAGCCAAATCCTAGTCCAGGGCCCTGCATGCCAGCAGGCCCTGTCTTGTCCTTCTGCTTCCTTAGCAGGTATTTAAATACATTTAAAACAAGAAACAAACCAAGAAGAATCAATGTGAAGTACCAAAAACCTTTATTTTTCCCCCAAACCATAACAACATTTGACATTATATTGATTTCCTCATATATTTGTTATTTCTCTACGTTAGGAACCAGATACAGAAAATACAAACACGATCTGTTGAATCAAAGACGGCACAGCATTCCGTTAGAAAAAGAAACAAAAAACTAGAGGAGCAAGATAAAAATGGTGAAAAATAGTCATTCCCTCCAGCCCAAACTTTCCAAGAATCGTCATCAAAATAGAGCAGTGGAAGTAGCTTCTCTTTCTAAACGCACTTCTGCTTTAAGAAAAAAGTTAGATTTATCTTTAGATTTCAAAGTAAAAAAATGTTAAACTATTTTTCAAGCAATTTTGGAAGTTTGCATAGACCCATTCCCTTTCCAAAAATATCAGCGATATCTCTATAGAATCTGATATAAATCAAGTGCGCGCCTCATCTGAAGATCACCAAGCTCAATTAACTTTCAAGAAAATAAAACATGATCTCCCCTTCCCCTCCCTCCCCCCACAAAAATATGGGCTCTACCGTTATTCCTTGTGTTTTGAGGCAAATTACGAGGCTCAGCCACACCTCTCGCTCACAGCTTCATCCAAATTCCTTTTTGACTTCCCAGGTTGCCACGTCCACTCCCTACCGATGGGGCGGGGGCGATGCAACGTGGAGTTGCAGAGGGCATCAGGCTCGGACAGTGCGGGTGGGCTGATGGACAAGGCAGCTATCGGGAGGGGAATGGGGGGGAAATTTTGCGCTCATTACCCACCCCCCACCCCCCTGCGAGGAAGTGGCTTTTCAAGGACAAACACCTGCGACCAGGCAGTGTTTGTAGGAACTTGCCCTCGGGGACCAGCCTTGTCCACAGGGCTCAGGTCACCAGAGCAAGAATCGTTCAGCTAGAGACTAGGTGGGGTGGCAAGGGAGGGCGCAGGAGGGGCGGAGGGTGAATTTGCAGCTCCTGGGTAAGGCAGCAAGGAGGGAAGCAGGGGGGCCCCTCTCCAGGAGGGGTGTTTAACCTAGGTGCTCTAGCGTACCTGGAGTGAGGTTATCCCAGAGGTTCACAACAGCTCGTGCAGAGTCCAGCTGCACAGCCACCAGTTTAAAAAGAAACAGCAACGACAAAATAAATAAAAAGTCAACCCCTCCTATTAAGATGAGAATGAAATATGCATTCTTCAGGTTTCGGCCTGGTTTGGAACCCTCTAAAAACTGAAGCAAACATTTAAAAGGGCTTACTAACTTTCTGCAGGGGGCAAAGTGATGTGGCAATGAGAGGGGGCGGGGGAGAGATCACACACCTGCTGCCCATCACACAGAGGGTCAGGACAGCACGAAGGCCCCCATTTAAAGTGCCAACCATGAAAAAGAAGATGGAGGAGCAACATCCTTCTCCCCCTTTTTCCAATCACAATTTCCTATTGAAACCCACGTCCTTCACCAAGTCACAACTAAGCCTATTCTTCTGGACATTCACTGAGTTTATACTGCTTTTTAAAAAAAAAAAAGTTAGTAAAAAAAGTTACATTGAATTTCCCAACTCTTTGCAATGGGCTTCCACCAACTAAAGGTCCAGAAACTGGGAGAGCAGAGCCCACATGTTTCTCCTGGCCAAAGACTGGAGCAGAGAGCCAGCTCTGCTCTCCAGGGTCAGCCAGGCGTGAGCAGCCCTGCTGGCCAGTATCAGACACCCAAGGGGATGCAGAGTCTTGCCAATAAGGTCCTTTTACTTGTTTAAGCCACCTCTGAATCCCCTGAGAAGGGGAACAATGTGGGGAAGAACGTCCCTCCCTCAGCCCCCCAGGAATAAAATATCAATGAAACAATAATGCAGTCAAAAACTACCAGCCTGCTGGGTTTATAAAAAAAATTCAATAACCTTCACGACAAAAAAAAAAAAAAAGGAAACTAGCCAGCGGTTTGGGTCTGGAAACTGATTCACTTTTTAAACGTTCAAAGTCCAACAAGGAACAGACGGCAGCGATGCCACAAGGAAAAAAGTGCTCGTGAGACGCAGCTTCCCGAGACAGCAGCGAGTCTGCAGGATGAGCGCCCCCACTGCCATCGCCACCACTTCGTACACCCACCACTGGCCAGCGACCGCCAGGCAGCGCTCACGATGGACACGCAGTGGGAGCTCTGTGTGGGCTCTAGAAATAGGAACAGACTGCTCCTTCCTCCCTCCCTCCCTCCAGGTCTGCTCTGGGCGCTCCAGCTATGGCTGTGCTGCACCAGACTGAATGACTAGGGCTGCTTTCTTTTTCAAAACAAGGGGTAGGAGAGTGAAAAGGCTACATGAAGACCAGGATCTGTGGAGTCAATAATAATGTGGAGACAAGGAAGAGATACCCTATGAGACACAGTTATCAAAACCACAAGTAGTGATGTGCCAAGCTGCTAGAAGAGAAGCCAGAGACATGTCCAGGTTGGCCACAGCTACGCCTCTGCCAGCCTGGGAAGATGAGACCAGCTTTCTGAAAAGCTTCTCCTCTTGCTTTGCTGGGAAGAGATTCCTCCCTCTGTCCCACTGGGGATTTCGTGACATGCTGAGCTGCCAGCGCCTCAGAGCAGCTGACTCTTGCCAACGGGAGCCCAGAAGAAAGCCCCGGGTTCCCAACTGCTCTGACAGTGACTGTCATTGTTTTTCATGGGAACAGAAGCAAAGCAGCAGAAGTTTGGTCTCTTTACTGGCTTATGTTTGCTCCTTTCAAGTCCTGGTTGGACCAGATTTCCTGAGGGGCTTCGCAGGCCCCTGGGGAGCAGCAGGTGCCCTGTGCTGGGGAGCAGCCTGACCCTCAGCTCCACATGGCTGGCCACAGACAGGGCAGGATCACCCATCGCTATCTGAGCCTCCTTCTGCCCTCACCCTGACCTGAACAGAGGGTTCGGCCAGGCTTGGCTTTCTGGCAGAGCCCCAGGGAGAGAGAAAAGCAAGCAGTTCTCCCCTTCCTGCAGACACACAGCATCCCAGGAACAGGGCAGGATGCTCACCAGCCTGCTAGTGAGTGCCAAACCTGCCCAGACTGAATGAAGAGATCACCATTAAAAAAACACCAGCAAGTGTGAAAGAGCTTTTGTTCTAGACAGACTCAAAAGACCCAATACTTCTTCCCTACATTAAACTAAGCCAAGGTGTTACTGGTACCCCCCTTCTTACCCTATTCCAAATTTAATTCCCTTTGAAGGGAAAGGGTAAAAAAAATTCCGTATCCTATATGTGGTCTGTCCAAATACAGAAAGAAGCCTCTTGACTTGAAGAGAGAAATCATCAAAACAGTGTAAGCAGCTGGATAGCTTTGCCACACTGCCTAGCACCCTCCCCATGTAGTCATCCTTAGCTAGCAGTGGGGGGGGGAAATCAAGGCCCTTTCATTCCTTGTTTCTCATTCTGCCAAATTCCCTTTTCCAGTAGCTCATCTGCATGCATTCTGGCCATGGAGACCACAATTAATCCTTTTTTTTTTTTATCTCCTTTGAAAAAAAAGGTTTTACCGTAACTAAGAATTTGAACAACAACGTGATCAGTTACAAGACTTTCCT